CAGGTATATTCTTCCGCCGCCCATAGTCTAGTAAGCGCGTTCTTCTTTTTTCGTATTCATCCAAAATGCTGTCAGATGACATCTGACGCAGTTCCTAAATTGGTAAAGCAGAAATAGAATAATATATATATATATATATATATATATATATATATATATATATATATATATATATATATATATATAATATATATATATATATATATATATATACATATATTTAAATATGTATATACATATATATATATACATATATTTAAAAATTGTTGGAGATTTATTTGCATAATATTCGAAATATGTATAATCTTCCACATTTGAAACCACACATATCTATATTAACATTTTTTCTTTACTTTTAATGAAAAAAAAAGTTTTATGTTGATATTCCTTCATGTTATCTAGGTCCTTCTTAATGTGTATGTTTTTATTACAAAAACTCGAGATAGGTAAACATTTTAATTAATTAAATTGCAACATATAATTAAAAAAATAAAATAAAACCGTCATATGCAAATAACCGAATCTTGTAACCTCATTCGTCCTAAAGACAACTTAAAAAAGTTGCAGTTACTTTTTCAGATTGTGGATAAGTATTTTATTATTATAAGGAAAATGAGATATAACAGGTTACCGCGATAGCAACTCAACAGCTATTCTGCAATGTCCTGTATGTGTAAAAACTATTATTCATAAGGCGAAATAAACAGCATATTTTTTATTTAATGAACTAATGTTTCCGTTCCATTTTTACATCAAGATTAAGACAAAGACTTGCTATATTAAATCACGTTTTTGGTTTGTATTTTTAAATTAGTAGAAGGAGGTAAACCAGGAATTCTGAAGATGGCGGAAAAATATCGAAATTTACTCAATTTTTAATGAAGAAGAGGTTGTTCTGAGAATAAAGCTTGGAAGACTGAGATGGGCTGGCCATGGGGCTAGTAGGGTGCAGCACGAAGTAATCTCTGAGATGGTTTTGACGGAAATTCGCCGCGGCATTAGAAGAAGGAAGAGTTAGAAAATCGTCAGATGGTGTGGCAAGAGATACAAACGATATCGTGGGAATCAGAAGCTAGATGACGGCTGCACAGAGGAGAGATGACTGGAGGAAGATTGTGGGGGAGGCCAAGACTCGTCATCGAGTTGTAGCCCCGACATAGACAGATGGAAGGAGGCAGATTAAACAGTAAAGCTCAATACTAACACTTTCAAGTAAAACTTCAGAATGGCCAGAGGTGCCCATCCCCCCATTTTCGATGGCGCAAGAACCTACCTCCCCTCCTCCCAAGATATTTTATTGCTCCCCTTTTCTTAAAAACAGAGCAGCTAAGGTAGAATAAAAAAAAAATCGTAGATCATATACAATTATACTTGCTGCGATAGGTTCATGTTTTCCTGTTTTTCCTTAGTCCGAAAATTCATAACCCCGTCGCAGTTTGCCTCCCTCAAAAATTCAAAAGCCCGTCAAAATATGCCCCTCTCGAAAATTTGAAGGCGCAACTTGCGCAATGAAACCACCTTCTGGCACCACTGAGTGTGGCTATCGAATTGTAGCTCACCACAAGAATTTTGACCAGACGGAAGGCGCTCTCATGCGGCTCATTGAAGTTAAAACTAACCCCACTCCTAGAATCTTTAAAAAGGTAGGTTATAGTTATATTCCTAACTAAATATATGGAACCCAATTTATTTATTAATTCTTGATTCTATTACAATTTTTTTCTTACACTATTATGCAAATAATTTTCACATTTTAGAGTTAAATGAAGGCAAACATGTCATTAATATTCTACAATTTATCCGGCCAATTGAATGTGTGGAGAGATAAGTTTATTCCAAGGTTCATTTTCCGGGGTCGCCGAGAAATGAAAATTAACCGACCTCGGTGGGAATCGAACCTACAACGTTCAGAATCGTACCCACACTCCAATATGATCGGCCATTCCGTTCTCTAATTAAGAGTTGATTTGTTCATCATTTTCATTTAACAACTAGTTGTCAAAAATAACATTATATTAGATATTTAGTTCAGAATTTGAAATTAGAAGCCTTGCAGTTCTTATCACGTGTTATTTATTATTAACAATGCATCTCTACTATACATAAAAATTTGAACTTATAAGGCATGCATATATTTGGCAGCATGTTATTTTAATTACACATTTGATATTACTTCCTGAAAAACAAAACGAAGTATGGATTTATTTAATTAAACATATGGATTTATTTAATTAAAAACAAAAATGACCATACCTCCGTAGTAAAAAGTTGTGACATCTTCAGTTGTCAACCGTTATTAAAATTAATCACAAAAATAAACAGGATTAATGTAGCCTAATCGAATTTTATCACATGTCCATAAAATGCTTCAATTGTTTTCTCTATTAATTTTATAGGGTTCAAGTTATACTTGTGATGAATCTCATAAGATAAAATTAGTAAAGTTTAAATTAGTGAAATTATACATACACACGTACAAAAGATTTTAACTATTTGTGAGGACTTAAAGCTATTGTAAGTCATTATTTGGAACTTCGAATGACTAAAGGTAGAAAAAACTTCCAAAGTAAAATTTTTAAAATCCAATAATGACTAACTTCTTGTAATTGATTAGCTGTAGAATAAAAGTAAAAAAAAAATAGAGAAGAAAAAAGTTAGTAAGTAGCAATAATAATAAAAACATTTCTCAGTTGTAAAAATATCGATTTTCAGCTTAAATTTACTTGTTTTCTTATTCTACTATTTTGTCAGATAAAGTTCTAGTGGTCTCCTTTATCACTGGTACTCTTGTCGCCCTAAAAACATTTAATTTTTTTTTTTTATAATAAAATAAATAAAATGTTCAGTCGTAAAAGGAAATAAACAGAGACGAAAAATTCATACGTTATGTAGAGCAGACGGGTGGTAATAATATAACTTCTCTTTGTATGAAAATAAATACCTATTTCTACTCGAGTAAGGTGGTAAGTGAAAGTTGTGTGATGCGCGCACTATACCAGATGTTTTACTTTCACGTATATATATATATATATATATTTATATATATATATATATTTTTTTTTTTTCTCCATTATTAGTCTATACGGATTTTTTTCCGAGTCCGAGGGTGATGGTGGGAAATTAAAGCCAGATTTAAAAGTTCCCCTCCCCCTTCCCATCTTCCCCTCCGCGGCACCGGGACACACACTCGTAATTCTTTTATCAATTTATCTTTCATCAAGTTGTCGGACAACTCGGTGCTATGCACACACTTTAATAAGGATATGCCATCAGTTAATACATGGTTTTATACAGAGTCAGACTCAGACTTTCGGCGTCTCTCTCCCCTCTCTCCCTCCAAAAAAAAAAATTAATTTATGTTTTAAGCTGTTTTATATTATATTATATTTGAATTTTATTTCATTCAATGTTTCTCTAGTACAGTTGTTTCATTAATAGGCTAAAATTAATTATTTTATATATTTATTTTTTTTATTTCTGACAAGTGGTGAGCACCTCTGAAGATCAAAGCCCCAACAAGTTCCCCTCAATGTTAGTGCCTCCTTTGCCTTACCTTATAAGGCATTAGAGCAGCATTGATGAAATAAAGGATTAAACAATGCAACAATGATTGAAATAAGTATATTTGAAGTCGGATAGGCATTTTATTTAGTTAAAATGTCATTTTATTGCTATCACTATTTAATATCACATTAAAAAAATATCTGGTGTGTCCACTCACACGACTTTCCAACCTACTTCAGAAAAGTTTTTATATCTTTACATATATTCATGAAGAAACAAAAATAATTGAACTAGATACATTTTCCTGAAAATTAATCAAACATAACATTTGAGTACGATTTATTTGATAAACTAAAGCAATGTAAACCGTCTTAAGATAGATCAGTGTACAAATTTCAATACTTCCTAATATTGATGATCAAAAACTTTTTGCCATAGCTTAGTATTGTCAAACAATAATTTCTTTTAAAATTAGAGGAAATAGTGAAGATTGTGTAATGCGGGAAACAGATTTTCTTACTTTCACTTAGTCTTACACTGAAAATTGAATAGCTGTAACTTCGTTAATAGTTATCCAAAATGAACGATTTTTATATGGCTTTGTAGGGAATTTCGTCACCTTTCAAACGACAGGCTAAACGGCCTATTTTTCCGTATAATATATTCTTAGGGAGTTAGGCCCCATAACATTTTTCTTTTCTTCATAAATTTTTTTCCTGAATTTTTTCGGGAATTTAGTCTATATACGAAAATTGAAAGAACAATGATTAGAAAATTATAGGAAAGTTTAATCAAAATCGCTAGAGCCGTTTTTGCGCTATAGTCTATAGAAAAACACGTTTTTCATTTATTGCAGGCAAGCTATTGCGCATGGAGCACCGAATTTCTTTCACAGGCATCAGTAGTCAAAACCCTACAAAATAAAAAAAAGAAGCAACAAAATCGGTTCAGAAGTTCCCGATAAAATCTTGGCACAGACAGACAGACAGACATACCAATGGCTAAAAATGTGTTGTTCAACCTCAGGGGGCTCTGAAACGGATAGATCAATCGAAAGCCGCATTTCAGAAATTTGACCCAATTGCAATACTTTCCTTACCTAGTATAGGTAGGAAAGTAAAAATATATTTCTAATAACATCTAACTATAGTTTTTTAAAAGTTAATTTGTAGTTTGTAAATATTGATATTTAAACCATTTTGTAGTTTGGTGAAATTGAAAATAATTCAATAAAATTATGGTCGATAATTTTGTAAATTTGGAAAGACTATTCCACCTTCAGTATGCAAGCAGATATATTGGATAATATTCTTTCTGTTTATTAGAAAATCAATAATATCAATTTAGATATATATAGAATGTAAGAAGTTCATTGATTTTTAGCCATTGTATTATTGGATTTAAACCAATTTACATGAGCATTATTTCAACATGATGTTATTATTATTCAACATATTGTTATAGTAAAGTACCAAGGATTGGGAATTGGGCTGTAATTAAATCAAAGATGAGTTTAATTTTATCCATTATATATTACAAAGCATCAGTTCATTAAATTATAATGCAAATTAGATAACTACACAAACTAACAATATCACATAAAATGCTTATTTACACTGATAAAAAAAGATCACTTTTCGTATTAAAAATTTATCAACTTAAAAAATATAAATTTTCACTTTTTAAATTGAAAGTCTTAAGATTAAAATTCTCTCTTAAGGTGAGATATTTTGTGTTATGACCTTTGCCTATTTTCCATATCCAAGAGCGAATCCAGGTTTCGTGTCTATATCAATTATAATGTGTGTGGGGATCTGTGGTCGGGCATACTGCTCTCTTAGTTTGTCAAGAGGAGTTGCTAGTACCTGAAACAAAATGATTCATTTTTATCCTCTTACTCTAATTGGTGTCACTCATTACAAGCCAAAACAGGTTTGTTATTTTTGTTTTAATTATTCATCATAACCCACATTTATATTGGTTTTCATAGCGAAGAAGAATTAAGCACAGTTGTAGCCTAATTAACTATCTCTATGTACTTCACGTTATCTCTCAATTTGTCAACTAAGATGGGATTTCTGTATTTCATATAAATAAATTAAAGACATTCTATTACCTGATCTCATAACTCGATTATGTTTCAAAAATATCATCTAACCATATTGTATCACACCTGGTAACTATGAGAAATAAGACAAAAGTAATATTTTTTCTCAATAGTGTATAGCACAGTTGTTAGGTGCTAATGAACATTTAGAATATCTGACCTGATGAATAACATTGTCTAAATATTATTAAAATTAATAAAAAATACTATGATTAGTGTATTTTATTAACATCCTGATCGATTTCCGAATACCATTTTGTGACAAATTATTCTAATTCCCACCTTCTCAATAAATAAACTTATTCCAAAGGATACTAGAAAAAAACTTTTGAAGGTAAATATTATAGATTGTAATAAATAAGGCATTTATTTCACACATTTTTTTAGAACTACCCACGATTTTAAAAGTAATAGAGTTTCTGCAACATAATTTTACATAATTGTGTTGATAACATACGTTAACAGAGGAACAATTTTTTTTTAGAACCAAAAATAAAAACACGATAATATTTTTGACATTTGAATGAATTTTAAATTATTTTAGAGTGAAATATTAGGCAATGCAAGAGATAATTTTTATTAAAATTGATTTACTTTACTTTTATAAACATAAATGCTTACTTGCTGAATCCATTCACTGTCACATGATGCCATTACTCCTGGGAGTGCCGTTGAGCACTTGGTATCCCAACTATATACTCCCGCCAATTCGTATCGTCCATCAGGTTTTTCACATACTAGTGGGCTTCCAACATCAACCTGAAACAAAAAATAAGTGAGCCAAAAGATTTTTTTGGTTCATGAAAACAATAATATTCTTTAATTTACTAAATAATAAACCAATAATAGATTTTAAGCATGACTGATACAGATTTCGGGAATAGTACAATATAGTTAACTTTTTTAAAAATAATTTTCTGAAATGTACGAGAAACTAAAATATAAATGGAACAGAAACACTAGGTATTTCTGTTGTGATTCCTACAGGCAAACGTATAACATTTAAATTTGATCTGAACTATCATAGAAATTTGTAGGAGATTTTAAAATATCTAATTACAAACAAGATTTTAAAACCATTGCCAAAATGGTTAATGAAAATTAAAACTGGTTAATTAAGTATTACATTGTTGTTGTGAGAAACAAATGATACTTCATTTTAGCTGGTCTTGTACTACTGAGCAATTAGTTAATTTTACAATAAAGAATACTTGGTTATATATTATATAGTTTGGTTATATGTATTACATATATTGGTTATATATTATATATTTTAGTTAATAATTCTTTATGGTGATAAAAATACCTAATAAATTGGTTTATAATATTGATGTGATATAGCCCATTTCAGGAACAAATACAAATATTTACAGAACTATTAAAATGTGTGTATGCTGTTAATTAGTTAAACCAATATGTTTTTATCACACAAGAAACTGAAATGTGTATATGAGAAGGATTATGTCAGAGGGGGTGCGGTCAATAAACAATAAATTAAAAAAAAATTTGATAGCCTATCAACTGCTTCCTGTAGTGCCACATGCCACGCCCTGATGAAGACCTGCAAGGTGGGTCGAAATGTTGGAATAACAATTAAAAATACTATTTCTTTTAAAATTTAGTATTTATTTGACCGCACCTCCCGACCAAATCCTTCTCATATTATGTCACGGTCAACCATCACTACATCATTAAAATATGTATACATAAAAAAAAAAAAAAAAAAAAAATATATATATATATATATATATATATAATTATAAATATATATACATATATATTGAGAGTATGTATATAAATTATCCTTATGTTACACAAGTAAAATAATAAAATTCTATGAGTAATTCATTAGTATAATGATCAAGGAATATGGTAAAAAGGAGATAGTTGATGGTTTAAAACAGTTACTATACCTTGCAAAGTTCTGATTCTTTAAGAGGAGCAGCACATGTGAAACCTTTGTTCAATTTGAAATATTTACCGAGATGTGTTTTCTTTAAATTAGTTTCACATTGTTCTTTTGGAATGAGATTAACTTTTATTTTATGAAGTTTTGTTCCTGGTGTGTTTCCTAATCAAAGAACAACATTTTTATTGCATGAAAAATCAATGAATTATAATCTAAGAAAATCAACTTCAATTATTTTATTAAGAATTACAGTATTTATATAACCAAAAAATTAATTAATAGATCTAATCAATAATCATTTTAATAAATTTCTTTATAAACAAAAAAATATATAAATTACTTTGTAAAGCTGGACGGCCATATCCAGTAACAAAGCAGTCACCAGTTGGTTCATATTCATCTTGAGTACTTGGGGAGAGACATATTTTGTCAACATGCTCATCAAGAACAAGTGGTTCTTCAGTTACAACTATAGCTTGATCTTTTACTAGAGAACCAGAATCATAACTTGGGTGTATAGCAGCTGCCCCAACTTCACGGATCTGTGCAGGTTTGGGACCATCTTGTCCAAGAGTGTATCCACCAGCTTTGATTTGCAAATCTTCTGGATTCAAGCTAAAAACAAAAGCACACAAATGGCTTTACTTAAAAAAATTATCCACAAGTTTTCTGAGCAGCTATTGTTCTATTGAACTTTTGATAATGAGATAAGTCCAAGGTTATCCTCAATAAATCAATGAAATAGAAAATCAGAGTAAAATGTATATCAGTATGAAAGCCTATGGATTAGTAGCATTGAATAAAATATACATTTTCGATTTGAAGTTATAATAAAAAGTTCAAAAGGATTTACTTACCCTTCAATACAATGAGCAGAAGTTATTACTGCATTTGGAGCTATTATTGCAGCGCTACATAGGGCACTATTGTTGCTATTTGAAGAGATAGTTGCATGCCATGGAAATTCACCAAATCCTGCTTCATCAGGTTGTGCACCTTGGCTCTAAAATAAGTTATTCATTTTATGTTCCTATCATTTATAATATAAAAGAATTCTTACTTTAAACTGTAGAGATATTAAAATTAACAGTATTCAAAATCAAATTTATTTGCTCACCTGTCTTCGAACTCCACATTCTTTTCCTGGTGTGGGCTGTGTGCTATGAGGAGTTGGTTGATTATATGGTGTAGACTGTTGTGGTGATCCAATTGGTGTTGGTTGGGGTTGACTAAAAGGTGGTTGCTGAGGTTGTGGAGAAGGACCTGGCTGTGGTTGCTGTGGCTGGGGCTGATATGATGGTTGAGATGGACTTGGTTGAGGTCCAGGCTGCTGAGGATTTGGTTGATAAGGTGTTTGTTGGGCCTGGCTAGGTGGTTGAGATGGACTTGGTTGTGAACCAGGCTGCTGAGGCTGTTGCTGGTAAGGTGTTTGCTGAGTCTGATAAGGTGGTTGAGATCCTGGCTGCTGAGGCTGTGGTTGGTAAGGTGTTTGTTGAGGTTGAGATGGACTTGGTTGAGGTCCAGATTGCTGAGGCTGTGGTTGGTATGGTTTTTGTTGTGGTTGCTGTTGGTTGGAAGGAGACTGCCCCGTTGGTGTAGGTTGATATGGTGATTGCCCTGGAGCAGTTGGAGAGTAAGGTGATTTTGATGGTTGAATTTGGTTTCCAGGTTGTGGCTGGCTGCCAGGCTGTTGAGGTTGTGGATATGCTCCTTGTTGGTAAGGTGATTGATAGGGTAATGGAACGGATCCAGATGGTTGAGGTTGTGGTTGATTTGTGGGTTGCTGTGGCTGAGGATATGCTGGCTGACTTCCAATATGATGTGGAGTAATAGGAGCTGGTGTACCATACAGTTTATCTTCATCTCCTGGAAATACTTGTTCATGAGTTTGACCAGGTCTAGGAGCAACCGGGAATGGAGATACTTTTTTTTTAAATACTCCAATAGGTAATTTGATTGTGTGGGGATTGGGAGGAGAAATAGTTCCATATTCTGGCTCACCCTGTTCCTGAGGAGGATGGTACTGACCATCATCAAATTCCTGTTCTGAAGGTGGATGATATTGGCCATCATCTAAGTTCTTCGGCATTGTTGGCATAGGCATACCTGCAGGCCAAGGGTCCTTGTAGTTTGGATCACGACAACATTTTCCAAGAGTGCCTGTATTCATATCTTGACAGTCCTAAAATTAATAAATATATTCTCTGTAATAATAATAAAATCATTATATTTCTTATATAATTTTAAACTTTTAATATGAATGACTTACCGTGAGTGGTACTCTATTTTCATTTTGCTCTCGAGTTAAATATACTGGTGAAGGTGACATAACACCTTCAGCTGTACAATATGAAATATCCACACATTTCAATGCTGCAGGACATCCAGGGTAAGGAGTAGTGTTTAATGGTCCAGTATACTTGGGGCTCTCAGTTACTACAATAATATTTCAATTAATTTAGTTATTAAGGTATGTTACTTTACATTTTTTTGTCATGTTCAGTTAGTTTCCTAAAAAAATATCAAATAAATCTAACTTATCAATGTTTTGCTTCTAAAACCTTGAATTTCCATTAAAACAAATTTTACGCAAGGGAACAAAAAAAAAATTATTAGACAAAAGTAAACATTTTGACTATTATTTTCTTGTTGTATATTAAAGTAAATGAATATGTACAAGGCCTCAGAGTTTTATTGAAGTTGACTTATACGGTTTTATTATAAGTGAGGCATCAATATGTTTTATTTAATAGTATAATTAAGATTTATTAGAGATGATATCAATAAATGTAATAGTGTTGATTAGACTATCATATTGATTAATAAATTCAAATTAAGTTAAATGATAATTATAATATGTATTAATATCACCAAATCAATGACATTTGACATTTTAAAATATCTATATAGGAATGTAATATAACAGTATATAATTCTATTTATTTAATTAATATAAAATTTAGAACTCAGACAAATTTATATTTATTATTTATGAAAGCTTCTATATTGGAGTTTTAATTTTGTAAGTTAATTAAATTTATACAACATACAATAAATCTATAGTTGAACATTTTTCAGGAAGAGATTTTTATTCACTTTTAAATTACTTATATAAATTTTCTTCATTAGTAAAGAACCCTTTTAATACCACTTAATTCATCCTCACTTTTGGATTCCTTATGAGTGCAGTTTTATTAAGCAACAAATATCATGACGCTATACCTACCTCATGTAATGATAGTTTTAATTTAATATTAAAATTTGTTTCAATTACAAAAATATTTTACCTGCATAAGGTTGTGGTTGACTTGGATATGAAGGTTGTGGCTGACCTGGGTATGAAGGTTGAGGTTGACCTGGGTATGAAGGTTGAGGTTGTCCTGGGTATGAAGGTTGAGGCTGAGTTGGATAAGTTGGTGATGGTCCAATTGGCTTTTTTACTTTGCAGCATACCTCACTTGGTTGGCATGGACCTTTCTAAAAGGATCAATTAAAATTTTATTTTACTTCTTTGCCTTTTTAAATCTTCATTCATACATTTACATCTTCTCTCATTTATAACTAACAGCGTTTCTATTGAGAATTGTAAATGTGAATAGTCAAATATTTTAATCTCTACTTGATTAATTAAATTCTATTTTAAAACTCTGTCTTGAAAAATAAAAATATGGAACAATGTCTATATTATTAAATAATAATGAGAGAAACAGATTTAATATGAAAAGTATAGATAGATATTTTTGTCTCATATGAATCTTAGGATACGCTTAATATATTTTGTTTTATACATATAATACAAAGCGGTATTTAAGATACTTACAATGTGACATTTCATATAAATTAAACACCCCCTGAACAATAAGGGGGAAAATAATATCAATATAACATTAATCAATTCAGAATATTTATAATTCGTTTGCTTTTTTAAGTAGTCTTTTTTCAGCACATTTGGGTACACCAGCCGTGATCGTCTAGTGGTTAGGACATTGCGTTGTGGCCGCAATAACCCAGGTTCGAATCCTGGTCACGGCACATATTTTTTTTTCCGTGCAGTGCTTAAAAATTATTGTTATATAAAAAATATCGAACAAGGAATATGAGTTAAACAATTTGTTTATACGTTAATAACCCTAGTTTAACATATTATTTTCGGTATTTAAACAGGACATTAATAAAATAACGGACATTTTTTGTTCATAGTAAACATTAAAATTTACCAGTATTTTGATGAGTTCAAAATATAAATAATTTTTAATACAGTTTTACTGTTTAATATGAATCTATAAATTTTCTGTAACGTTTGACACTCAAACTCTTTTTTTGGCATTATTATTATTTAAATTTCTTGTGATATATTGTCATTTTTTTCATACTCTTTATCACAATATTTTATTTGAATTCTAAATAAATAAAAAAATCACTCTTTATTTGGGAAATTAATAAAAAAACATATATTTTTTTTTAATATGATGATATTGCCGCACCTTTATTCTCATTGTAGGAACCCATCATTAAAAGGTTGAGGAAAGATGGAACACGATGTTTTAACTCAAGGTTAAGTATTTTTAAATCATTCATCGTATTTGTTAGTTATATTTTTATGAGGTATTCGGAGGAAAAACAAAAATAATAAACAAACAAAACATTAATAAAATTAAACTGATTAAATTAATTATAGAACGAGCTTTGTTGAATAAAAGATCCTAATTATTTTTATTGTAACTGAGATTGAAAAAAAAAAATTGAAAAACTATTAAATTTATATTAATTCGTTTTTTAAAATTTGTTGTGAGTATAGCTAACCTATTAGACCAATAGCGGTCCAGGAATTAGTATTTGGAGGGTGGAGGAGAGAGCTTCAGCCCAAACCCTTTATATATATATATATATATATATATATATATATATATATATATATATATATATATATATATATATATATATATATATATATATAAAGCGTATATTAGACAAAGAGTTTGATATATTATAAACTGTATAAGTGTTATATAATGAATACAAATAGTTATGGTTTGATTGAATATTTACAAAATTCATAATGAATAAATATTAATAAAGCAGGAGAATTTTCTTTCTGTAGTACAATTAGACGTATTTAAATCAATGATTACATATAACTAACAGACATAATCCAAATCAATCGGGTAAAAGTATTCTTAAACATAAGGAACTATACCATAGTAATATTCTAGGCCAGGCAGTATTCAAAATAATTTAAAGTCTCCAGTTCCCGACTTATTTGTCAAGAAAAGTTATCTTGATTATTGGAGTGACTAGCTATTTCTTTTCAATGGCTTCTGCAAAAAATTAGGTGCTTTTAAAAGATTAAAAGGATCTGTTTTACCTAAAAAGTTAAGACCGTCTCATTACACTACTTAAGTTCTACCATTTTTTTTTCTTTTCTAGTTACCAGGATTTTTTGCAACTAAGCAATTTGTTATCTTTCAGTCTTTGACCAACTGATGTTATTTCTAAACCTTTTTTTTATATTCAACTGCAATGTTATTGTACCAGATCAACTTAGGTTCTGGGTTTCTCATAAGGGTAAGCGTATTACCCATTGTAAGACTTTTAAGGAGACCTACATATTGTGGGAGTGTAAAATATTATTCATGGTATATGATTTTCAGTTCTTGGTTTGTTATTTTTTGTTTTATAAATATCCTCCCATATTGTTTTTTTTTTTCTAATGAACTTTTGATTTCCGAATTTCTAGCAACTGGTTTTCAGGGATAGATCAGAATCTAGCTAATGAGTGAAACTCGTGTGAGTCGCGTTCTTACCTCTATTACGTTCTATCTAAGTTTAAGATCTACGTATCAAAATAATTACTGAACAAAAATGAAAATAAATTATAATGTAGAATCCTGGTGGAGAAAACAATGTTCACATAACCGTAAAAAGATAATCCGAAGTTGTTTTTAATAATCATGCTAGATGATACTTTCAGAGGTTGATAAATTATTTTAAAATTACAAATCCTTATTTCTGATATATATATATATATATATATATATATATATATATATATATATATATATATACAATATATATAAAGATACAAATAAGAAATTATAAATAAATAACATATACATTACAAAATGTCTTTTATGTACTAGAGGTCAAATGGGACATCAAATAAAACTGAAATGCTTATGATTCAAACCTTGAACTAAATAGGAACTGTCATTGACCCGAAAGTCTCATGTCATCTGATTATAGAAAAGCCATAAACTTGTTGCATATTTATTTAATAGCATATTATGCACAATGGAACGCATATTCTATTAATCATAAATACGCATATACCGAATAATCATAAGATTGTATACATAAATTATTTTTTTTGTTGAATAATTAACGGCCCTCATTCCTTATAGTTGAACATATTACCATACTGAAGAGCGATGCACCGAGAATGGCGTCCATGATTAATGTTAATCAAATAGTCCTAAACCGAAGAGCAACCAAGAGTCTTGTTGCGGCGTAGAAGACTTTACAACAGAGTTGTTTAGGGAAAAAATATAAATATAATTTCTTTTTCTCCTACAACTAATGTCAGTTGTGAGGTATTACTTTTTTTTTTAAGACTTAACATCTTTAAAAATGGGCTAAATACTTGCATATTTTCAAGTCACATAGTTCAGCTGCTTAGGATGTTGCCGAGTCTCATATATAACTATTCTAGATTGTAAACCGTATTTGGATTAGAGTAATCCCTTACTTTTTAGAAACGCAATCGTCAGAGGAATCACTATTCTTGATTTTTATCAATAGACTGAGTAAAATAAATTTAAAAAAATATTTTCTGTTATTTCAATTTAATGGGGAAAATAAAGCACTGATAAACCGATAGGAATTGAAATGTGCATTGCCGTTCGAAATTTTTAACGACAGCAATACTGCCCCTTACAATATATTTCATACAGAAGTAAGTGAAAGGAATAAACAAATTCTTTAGGATGAAAGTAAAAATATTCTTTAGACGTTTGTAAATAGGAACATCATAAGTACTTGTGCCACGAGTGTAACTGTCATATTCTCAGCGCAATATAGGCCACTTCATACTAACTAAATAAAGAACACGCTGTGCCCGCCACATCGTTAGTGATTAACTATTGAAGAAGTGGTAAAACTCGTAAGAGGTGGCATCGCTGACCTTGCAAGCGCTCACCTTTCAGTAATTGCCGGACCTTACCTGGTCGATTAATTTCTTCAGTGTTCGCAGCTGTATATTTTTAATAGCATCACTCCTACACGTCATGTTATTTTTTTTTCATAACAAATTAAGTTAAAGCAAGCGTTTAAAAATCCGTATTATATAACTTCATATTCAAAAATAAAAAATGTTGAAACTATTTCATACAAATTTGTTCATTTTCATTCTATGCCTTGCTGATAGATATTCCTAGTTTACCAGTCGCTAATTATTATTTCATTAATTACTCCCAAGGTTCTTAAGGAAAAAGTTAATTAACCTTGAACTGCCAAGAGGTTGATGGCCTAATAGTTAAAATATTAGATTCGCTTTAGAGGGTTAGATTCAAATTATAATTTTATCCCAATAATAGTTTTCTCACAAATCCCAGAGATTTTAACGGTTGGTTAGGTGTAACTTATTCTCCTAAGCATCTATTAAGCCATTCGTTATGAAGACATTGCATTATTCTTAAAGGGGATACAAGTTTTTCAAACTATTCAGTTATGCTCTGTAATCCTATTTTATTCTTAAGGTTTTACTTACACATAAAGTTATTACGGGGATTAATTTATGAAGCATAATAACTCACCTTTAGGTCGGCTGGCAGGCTGGATGTCTCTGTTACGATTCCGTTGTTGCATAGATATTTAGGAACACAAAAAGCGGCATCAGTGGTGCATGTTTCTCCGCTTGCTTGTTGCCTCACAGGGTTCTGTAATGCACTGTTTAAGAAAGGATTGTTAGGATTTATCTGGTTTTGGGTCGGCCTTGGCGGAATTGGCCTAACCTGAGGGTCAGGGAACGATCCTTGTGGCTGCGGTCCTTGTAGGCTGCTTGGTTGTGGTTGATATTGTTGGGAAGGTGTCGCTGGCTGACCATACCCAGGTTGAGGGCGACTTGGGCTTGGTGATGGCTGCTGAGGTTGGTTAAGAAAAGGATTTTTTGATAAGCTGGGGGAACATACTGGTTTACCTTGAGCTGGACTTTGAGCATTGGGAGTTGGAGGTACAGCTGAAGGTGGCCTCACACCAGGTTTGAAAGGGTTTTGATTATTAGCCCACCAATATTGTTGTGATGGAGATGGGCGTGGTCCTGGTTGTGGATACTGTGGTGAAGGTTGGCCAGCTGGATAAGCCTGGCCAGGAAAGGGAGATGGTTGTCCTGAAGGAGGATAAGATGGCGGTGGGTATTGTGGAAAATTTTGTCCTGGGTATTGAGGTTGTCCTGAAGGGGTTGGATATTGTGGTGAGGGTAGCCCTGATCCGGGGGTAGGGTATTGGGGGGCAGGTTGTTGTGGACCACTAGGAGAAGGTTGTTGTGGTGCGGGCTGACCTGAAGAAGGGAACTGTGGTTGTCCAGAAGGAGTTGGATATTGTGGTGAGGGTTGTCCTGAACCAGGAGTCGGGTATTGGGGTACAGGCTGTCCACTAGGAGAAGGTTGCTGTGGTGTGGGCTGACCTGGAGAAGGGAACTGAGGTTGTCCAGAAGGAGTTGGAAATTGAGAGGAAGGTTGTCCTGAAGGAGTTGGATATTGAGAGGAAGGTTGTCCTGAAGGAGATGGATATTGAGAGGAAGGTTGTCCTGAAGGAGTTGGATATTGCGGTGAGGGTTGTCCTGAACCAGGGGTTGGGTATTGGGGTAGTGGCTGCCCACTAGGAGAAGGTTGTTGTGGTGTGGGCTGACCTGGAGAAGGGAATTGGGGTTGTCCTGAAGGAGTTGGATATTGTGATGGAGGTTGACTAGAACCTGATGTGGGGTATTGGGATGATGGTTGACTAGATCCTGGAGGGGAATATTGTGGAGAAGGTTGACCTGTAGCAGGGGTTGGGTATTGAGGACTTGGTTGTGCTGAAGGATATTGCGAAGATGGTTGGCCAGATGGGTATGGAGGTTGGCCAGAAGGGGTTGGCTGTTGTGGGGTAGACTGCCCTGGATACTGTGGACTAGGCTGGTTTTGGGGCTGAGGTGATGGAGGCTGACTGGGCTGGTTTGGGTACGGTGACGGAGACGGCTGCCCTGGCGGTGGAGGCTGGCTGGGGGATCCTGGAGGTTTGTAGCCTGGCGGAGGTTGGTACGGGGAAGGAGGCAGCACTTCGTTGGCGGTGTCGGGGGTCTCAGTTGTTGTCGTAGTTCGGTGGCGAGTCTTGCCGCTGGGGAGGGGGCCGTACTGTCCCGCTGCTATCTGGATGAGCAGGCCGCATATGAAGACTTTCGTTATACTCTGGAATTGAAACATGGAGAAATTTAAAAAATAGAATTTCCTCAAAATAGTATATATGTTGATAAGTAATAGATTTATAAAATAATCCTTCTAAGATCAATGTTACATTTAAATTGTGATTTGAAAATCATTTTAAACAGCGACATTGACAACGGTTTTTCATTGTTTTTATGACATATACTGTTTGATATTTCCAGAAAGACCAATTTAATAAATAGTTGCAGATAAAATACACTAGTTAATGGAGTTTTGACGAAATTTTTTAAATATTAAAAAAAAGAAGTAGTTGAAATTTGAATTAAGCTCAAAATAAAAATATTATTCTTACAATGATAATATTCTTACGGCTTAAAAATTATGTTCCTAAGAAAAACATAGATCTTCTACTATCTAAACTTCGTCTTGACAGATTTTATGTTTCACGGATTTGCCGATTAAATAAGAAATATCGTTGATATTCAGAAAATATTTGAGATGCTAATTAACATCTTGTCATTCTAAAGGGTAGCACTGAAATTGAATTATTAAGTCATCACACTTGAAGTTTCTTTAAAGATATTTCTTAAATTAACTGCTATGAAAAAAAGAGTTCGTTTCACTACGCGACAAATAAAAAGAAACATTTGTTCAAACAAATTCACGTTACATACCTATTTTACAAATTTTGACTATTACGAATTACATTGAGGAAAGATAAATTGACTGGTCAACAGGAATCATTATTAATATGAATCCATCTCAGATGTTAAATGTAATCAATGGCGAATTCAAAGGGTGAGGGAGGTCTTTCGAGCTGAAGCAAACCAGCCAAATATTTTTTTTATTGAACCATTTTTGTTTTTGTGGATGGTCTGAACCAAATTCTAAAATATAACAATACGGTCTGTTTATAGCATACATTCATTAACTTAAGCATATGAAACTCTAATGTCACATAGGGAAAATTCTTCGTGGTTTTATTATACGAATGCCACTTAATCACTTATCGCAAATAAAACGACGTTAAAAAGTGTAATAATAACAAATAAAACGTTACTGGGTGTAATAATATAAAATTCAATAACAAAAAAGATTTAAAAAAATGTATTTCTCATTTGTTTATCACTTTGTTAAACTGGAACATTTGTAAGAATTAAAGGATGAACTCTGACAATTATTATACTTAAGCTTGATTTATCGCACCTTGGACTAAGCTCACGAATTCTGACCCTCGGCGTTCCTATTCGTATTAACATAATTCCTGATTTGAATAAGTATATAAATCTCAAGAATAGGATGCCGTCATAGATGAGACCCTAAAAATATACCCTTCCTAACAAGGAACTAACCATTGTTCGCCGCCCGGGCTCGTGGGTTGGATGTATGACCTTAGTAAGTCGGGTTTGCTCCACGGAGCATTTAAAGGCAGGGTCATGAAAAATGCCTAATAAAAAATAAAAGTGATACTTTATTGAAACTTTTATATAAAAAACAAAGCAAATATTAGAATGGACGCCTATTTGATAGAATCAAATTACGTGGGTGATGAAAAGATGTGTTGTCGTTTGGTAATAAATAAGATTTTAACTCAACGTTAAAACGGGTCCATATAGGACAAACCAAGATAAGTTAAATTAATTTTAATCAACTAATTGTTAGCAAAGGCAGAGTAGCAATGGAATTCGGCCATATACCATTTTCGAGATGTTACTTTGACCAATTACTTAAAATCATCAAAATCCATATAATTCTTCAGAAGCATTATCGTTTGTCGTTTCTTATTTATTAAAAATCCTTCTTCTTTTTGATTACTCAATTCATTTCGAAGAATGATTTCAAGAAGAGAAAAAATGAGTTAAATGATACTACGTTATCTAATAACTTAAGAAAAATCGATGGCTTCTTCATTTTTGTTATACGTGTAAAGCAACCATCATTTATGAACCAGTCGTCGCATATTTCGTCAAAAGATCGCTCATATCTTTCCTATAAAGTAGTTAATTGAATTATATCGTCGGTTTATTGCAAAAAGTCATTAAGTAATATTACATGAAATCACTAAATACTTTGATGATTTTTTTTTCTCTGTGAAATCAGAAAATTATGCATTAACACGCTTACGACAAACTTTATATTAAACCTATTTAATAACATAAATCAGTTATGTTTTAGAAAACAATTATCACGTTTTTGATAAATAACATTTTTTTAAATTAGAAAATAAATAATCAAAAATTCCACTTGCAATATTAAAATATGATTATTTGAATTTATTAGTTCTTAATTTAATTGTGAACAAATGGAAAATAAGATTGGATTATGGTTAAAATTTTATTGATATCTCTCTCAATTTTCGTTCTGTATTTTTACTTTTAATTAACTATTATTGTAAATATTTAATTTATTTATTACCACGCAGACATGCATTCTGGACAACAGTCACAGAATAATAAAATATATATCCATTTCATTTACATTGCTATAGCACTGAATATGGTCAACGTGGGTGGGTAGAAATTTCGGTTAAAAATAAAGCTTTTTTTTTAAATCATGCTGGTTGATCCAAACTATTTGAAAATCGACATACAATCTTTTAAACTGAAATTGCAGTTTAAAATATAAGACGATTTACAATATCAACGTTTTTTTTTCTTTTATGAATCAGAATTGATATATGAACATATATCAAAAGAGAGTTAAATCATATGGAATTTCATATGAATCATAATGCAGAATGAAAGTTTATTATCCCGTGAGACAGTTGCTGTGTATTTTGCAACGTTATCTAACGCCGCTAGTTGAAAGTTCTATTTTTTACTTTAATTTTCAATTATTCGTTTTATTTATGATTATATAGATATTAATTTAAAAAGTTTTAGAAACAAATTTTATTTAAAGTATAGCATTTACTTTTTACTCACTGTTAGTGCAAAATATTGTATGTATGCAACAATTTTACAGGTTTATTCACTTGCTAAAGGAGACATTTTGTAGTCAACTGCCACAAGTAGTCTGCTAAATAGGAAAATAGTAGAGGGAAATAAGATAAATTTTTACATAAGACATTTTGCACTAACTAACGCTTCTTGAGAAGCTACCCTGAGTATAGGTCTATCCGAAGTATATGCTCTTTTACCAGAACAACAGATACACTGATTTAATTTCTTGAAACTTTCCATGTCTTGGAAATAGTTATTTAAAATCATATGAGTGGCTTAATATCAAAGACATAGATTTTTAAAAAGTTGAGAAAAAGGCAATTTTCTTTGACATAGCTTCAATTTAAACTAATTCTGATTTTTTTTAATGATTCAACTTTAGCATTCTTAAATAAAATCATCATACTTGAACCTATAAAACAAAAATTGACTTTTTCTCCATTTTCTGAAAATTGTAGATGTCCATCTTTGATATGAAACCACTCATATGAAATATCAAATTATATTAATAATGTGTTTAATCGTTGTTAAATAATAATAATCTTTAAATTTACTAGAAGTTATAATCTTTACTATGAGTAAGAGAGAGGCATTATATTTTGTAGGCGGTCTAATTAGACATGAAGGTAACATGGACAAAAGGATGGGATACTAGCCATGACTGACAAAGATTTGGCAATCTGACCATCCTAACAGGATCTCGAGTGTTTTAACTACTTCCTTGTTCGCATTAGTGTAGCATCTTAATAACACTTTGGGCTCAAGGTAATTTTTAAAAACGGCTTTGTTTTACAGGTTAAGATAATTATTTATTATGTTATATAAAGAAATAAAAAATAAACCTGTACCTCTACAACCCATGAAGGGTCTTGGGGTTCAGTACTATTTAGGGAAAATACTGTTTCAAGGCCAACAGTTTTGCAGGGAGGAGATCGGGCCAGAATCACGCACAACTGCTAGGTTTTTCCCCTTAATCAATTATTTAATAAAGGGTATCCACTTTGTAGAGGCTGGGTGTGCCCCAGGAGGGTCTCTCTGCCTCATGGTCGCCCCACGGCCAATTAAACAGAATAAATATTTTTTCTCTAATGGGCCGAGATTCCAACTTGGGACCTTAAGCATTGGAAGCTCAGTGCCGTACCACTGAGCTACCCCATTCCCTTATATATATATATATATATATATATATATATATAAATTAATTAAATGTAGTAGAAAATTAATGAGGGTATAAAATGGAAAAAGCATAACATATATTGACTATTTTATAATGTTTTCGTATGTGTACTAAAACATTCACTGTGTGTTTTTATAGTTTTATGCCATATCAAGAATTTTCATATTTAAGTTTTTAATATACCTTTTCATTTTCATGTATTTTATTATGATATTAATATATTATAATACATTTTATTATCATAAGTATCCTTGTTATACTTGGACGTTTCAATATGATAGTTTACGTCTTAACTCTTTCGAAATTTATTAACTAATTCGAATGTATATCACATAAGTGAGGGAAATGTATCTATTTTTTCTTTAATTATCTTTTTTAATTATATCACTGTCTTTTAAATATTTTTTTATAACTACCGATTCTTTATAAACGATTGTCGAGATTTTAAGCATTAGTTAATTGAAAACAGAATAAATAATAGGTAATTAGAATTATTTTTTTTAGCGCCCGAATTTGAGAGTTACGTTATTATACAGTTATACAGTACTTTACGAAATTAATATGACATAATATCTATTTAAAAATATAGTACTCAATTATTCAATTTATACTATTACACGGTTGTTACACACTTACAGAGAAAAAAGTCTCCGTCTTTTCCAGGTTGTTTCTTGGTTTTCCAGATTGGAAAAGATATTTTATTTTCATATAAATTATTTTTATCATTTGCAAATATGCATTTGCATGACAACCAAATCATTAGAATTAAAATAATTTGATCCGAATGAACTTTAAGATATTCTTAAATTGAAAGGAAAATTATTAGATGCGAAAATCACAATATTGTCGAAAAGTCTTCAACAAATAAATGATTGTTTATTATATAATGAACGACTGTATTAACTTTGAAATAATAGATACAATCCATAATTAAATCAATAGTTAAAGATTTATTCATGTTGGTATTTATTTGAAAAATATTTTAAACTCATTTTATTAAAATTATATTTCTAAAAATAACATTGTGGACCTGTTGAGCCCCGACGAGGGAGTAGGGATGAAATCCTGGGATCAGGCTGGCCAACAAAGTTTTTTTTTTAAGTTATAAATTTACGTTACAATAAAGTATTGATAAAACTACATATTGTAATAATTATGAAAATAACTTTATTTAATATTTTAGTTGCAGTTAGGTTGAGTTTTATCGAAGTGTTGAATTTAATATTAACGGATGCCCGGGGCTGTGTTATGTGACAATAACAGGCATATAGAATTATAAATGTTTATCAGTTTTTGGTCATGTGTGTAGGACACGACTTTTTCTCTTGGTAATTTAACTTAAGATGAGATTATTTACTTTCTACATCGCTTTCTTTATTAACATATAAAAAAAAAAATCGATACACTCATCTATAATCTAACCACATTAAATGAAAAGGGTTAAAATAATAATGTGCGCGACAAGCTCTATAAACCTATATTGTCCTATAATGTTTTTTCACTCCTTAAATTGTTACAAACACTATACCGCACAATTTGAACACTTTTTGTTTTATCAAAAGAATTTAAAATTTAACAAAAACGCTTCTATGATTGAATCAGAAGTTACAAGAAGAAGTAATGAGTAAACATTTAATTTATGTTTTTTTTTTTTAATGAGGAAGAAATAAATTTTAAAATATTTGAAACCAAATCAATGCACTTTATAAAAAAATATCTCTACAGTCTGTAAAATGATTCAGAGAAAAATAAAATGCTTTTTTTAAATTTACTATATGCAAAACGATTGTTTACATATGCCATGAAGAGAATGATATACAAATTATAAATTATAAAGTAAATAAGTTATATAGCAGTTTTGAAATTATTTCCTTCTTGTTATTTACGATTCAATTGATAATAAATATTAAAATTTATCCATGAATATTTTTTAAAAAATCTGATCACTACCCAATCGCGTCCAAAGATAACAGTTAATAAAAACAATAATATGAAACGGGTTATTTACTTAGAAAAGTATAATTATAATTTAAAACAAAAACGAAAACAGTCCCCCCCAAAAAAAAAATAAAGAAAAGAAAAATATATAACATTAACAATCTCATTGTGATTTGCTTATTATTATTATTATTTTTGCTTGATTACTAGAGTATAATATCAATAATATTGATTTTCAACTCACCATCATCATATTCAACAAAAGATTTTCCTTTACCACACACACTACAGACACGCGGTGCGAAGACCGCACTGAGAGGAAGATCTTCCAGGACCGAGTCTATATAGCAGGAGTCAAGGACAAAGGTTGCCATGGAAACCGGCTCGCCAACCACGCACACCTGGACAACCCCAACATATATATCTTCGGAATAGCCGGCATTCCGGGGTCAGGAACAATATCCTTGCGTGGATATCCTAAGTTAGACCAATCTTTGGACTATATGCTTACACTATATATCGGCAGCCACACTGTAAAAGCCTCTAAGTAAAATTTAACCCGAAAGTTCGGATTCTAGTTCTTCTGGTAAATATTGAACGCATATTTTCATAAAAACCAAAAAAGTTATTAAAAAGGTTACATCTTTGTCTTAAGCTTGTAGTAAAAATTGAATAGAAAATCTTTGAATAGTTCATAGAAGCGGTTTATTTCGTCTTATGAATAAGTTTATGCTTTGCACCTACAGGCTTTTGCAGTGTAGCTGTCGATATACTTTAAATAATTGAATCTTGTTATTACCCTAATAAAACTTAATGTATCATCTCACACAGTTGACCCATATCATTCCCTTGAAGCAGGGGTGCCCATTCCCCCCAAGATCATGGCGCAAGAACCTACACCCTGCCTCCTCCCAAGAAATTTTATTAGTCCCCTTTTCTTAAAAACAAAGCAAGCTAAGATAGAATTAGAAAAAATCATGGATCATATACAATCACACTTGCTGTGGTCTGTTCCATGTTTTCCGTTTGTCCCCTTATCCGAAAATTCATAACCCCGTCAAAATTTTTCGCCCTCAAAAATTCAAAAACCTGTCAAAATATGCCCCCTCAAAAATTTTGATGGAGCAACTTGCGACATTAAACCACCTTTTGGGCACCCCTGCCTGGAAGAGACAACAACGCGATTAATCCGCAGCGCCGTAATTTGCGATATTTAAGCTGCGAGTTGTCGCCCTAAATCGCAATAGACCCCAACCTGGTTTGTTTTCCAACAATATTGCGCGACTCAATAGATAGTTATAAATTGATAAACTTACTTTTAAAAAAATTAATAAAAAAAAATAGGAATTAAAATGAAATGAGAAATGTGGCAATAAAGTAGTGGTGGAAAGAGAGAAGCCAAGTAACTAGACGATTCAGTTTTCAAAAATAAATTAAATCTTCGGGTTTAAAAATGCCTTTTATATTAATAAATAAATAGCTGGCTCGTATATATTGTTCAGCACCGGCGGGTCTACGGAAGAGGAGAAGGGAAGGGCTTTCGGACTGATGTCCCTTCTCCCAAAAGGAAAAGTGTTTTGTGAAAAAAATATCTCTAACAATATAATTGTTCATGTAATTACATTTAATAGAAATTCAAGAATCACTTAAACAACATTTCTTATAGGTAGTCAGAATCTTTCTTCTTCTTCGAAACTAATAATTGTTACATATTTATAAAAAAACTTTCAGGCTGAAGTCTCCCCTTCCCCAAAATTAAATCCTGGATCCACTAGTACTGGTCAGTGAATAAGTGATAAAATAATAAGGAAATGAAGGAAGGACAAGATGAAGGAATCAATTGCTGCTTTCGCCAATCGACCAAGGAAAAGAAAATGATTTATAATTTCATTCAATTTCATTTTGAACTAGCATGTTTACAAATTACAATAATCTTTCACCAGATAAAAAAACAGCAAAATCTTTGCTAATAATGGTCCAGTTTCGATGATTTTGTTTTATTTTTTAGGGAATTTGATAACTTTTCGAATAATACAATCAACAATAAAATGTATAGTTTATGAGTTATTCGCAAATAAATCTTCTTTTCCTTCATAACGGGGATGGTAAGCTCAAGGTCCCGTGTTCAAATCCGGATGATGTAAAGTAATTTTTCATAAGCCGTGGTTCGACCCCGGGATCGGAAGACCCTTCTAGGACTAAGGTGGGTAATCTTAATTAAATAATTAATTAAGGAGGAAAACCTGGCGGTTGAGCGCGATCCCGGCCCGATTACCTCTCTGTACAACAGTTGGCCTTGAAAAAGTACTTCCTAAAAGAGAACTAATACAAAACCCTTCATGGATTGTAGTGCTACAGGATTTTTTTTATCTCTTCATAACATTTTTCCTGAAATTGATTATTTTTCGAGATTATTAATTGCAGGAAAACATTCACAGAAAAAAATATATTTTATTTAATAATTATGATCCACGAATAAATTAATTAATGTAAGGGCTTTATTACATTAAAGTTTAATTTATGTTCATCAAACGTTCAAACGTTGAAGCCAAAGCGCTTAAATTATCTAGTTATGTTAACTATATTTTACTTGGGAGATAACGGGATTCAGTCTGATGTCGCTCGATGTAGCTTATCTTTTAGCCGATTATTAGGGCGTTGTCGCTTTCAGCAATCGAGAAATATAACAGATTTTAAGAAGAAGAAATGGTTCAAGCGATGTTAATATCCTTTTGTTGCAAAAATGTGTGGATTACTCATAAAAGATAAAAAAAAAAATCCTTGTTTCAAATGTATTTATTTGTAGTAGTTAATTTGCATTTACAGAAAATAAAAAAATATATAGTAACACAATAACTGTATGTACGCCGCTTAAAATACTGGAATAGAAATCGATATAATTCAATGTGTTAAATTAATTATAAATATTAAGTACAAGATCCAATTTCTCTATTTTTATTTTTTCTTCCAAATCATAGTCCAATACAAACAGATATGACTTTTTATAGTTATTATTAATATATATATTTTTTTAATTTATTTATTACCAGATCGGCCTGGTGGGCCTTACATGGTTGTTGTAACAATTTGATGATTTTTAACAATTTGTTCTGGTGGGGTATAGTCTTTGCAAAAGACACCCCTAACTATTTATACATTATAATTATTGAATAATTACAATTAATAAAGAGAAAATTATTAATTGTTCATAACATGATGTCTTGGATCAGTCTGGGCTTCAGTCTTCGAGATGAGGTTGGGTTTCCTAAGTTGTAGGCCACTGCACCTTTAACTGCTGGTAGCTGCGTATGGAATTTTTTAAATCGTTTTTTGATGAATTCATCTATTGTTTCCAATTTTAGTTCTCGATGTAGTTGAGCGTTTCTTATTATTAATATTATGATTATTAATATTATAAAACACGTTGTATTTTTGTATTATCACTATATGTTGCAGGTCAGGGTTATATTTTTTACAACCCTTAAATTTTCATTTCATAAAAACACTTTTATTCGTCTGTACTACAAAAAAATTCTATTATCAAGTTTTACTAGAGTCTTCTTCTTTTCCTTTCTCCACACCATCATTTCTCAATTATCTTCCAGTGTTGGAGGGCCTCGATCCTTTTGATCCATTTTCAGCTAGCTCGAATCTGATGGTTTAAATTAATTATTGCATGAATTTCCCTCAGATATTTATAGATCTAATGTATTATTTATTTATTGTTTGTATATTATACGTTAAATAAATTGTATACAGCCCCTTTGTTGATAATTTCGATTTGAGAATTATTATGAATGGCTATTCCTTATAACAAGTATTGTTTACATGGTCCAGTTCATGTTTTTTTTTTTTTATCAAAGTCTAGATCAATACATTGTAATTAAGGAAAAGCCCGCTCCCTTCTCTTCCCCAAAAAATATATTGCTATCCTCTTCCAACAAACGGTATGAATTAACAATGTGAATGAATGTAACACAAATGTGAATGAATTAATTACACTTGTTGTGATCTATTTCATGTATATTTCCTATGTTCTCTGGTTTGTAAGATCTTCTACATTGAAATTCCTCAAAAATGATTTCCTCCAAAATTCATAGAAAAATGAGCACTCTCTAAAACTTTGATGACATAACTTTCACTACCTCATCCCCCTCTTGCAGATGTTAGTTGATTTAACTAAATTGATTTTCAATTACTGGAGATCACTACAGACCTTATAGAGGAATGGTTACGTTTCTTGATGCAAGTCGTGTTGAAGACATCGGATGGTTATCATATGTGGACCAGGAAAGTAGCTATGCTTTGTAACGTTATTCCGAAACCAGCTCGGTATGTTATATTTATTTGAAGCCTATATGCTAGTCAAGAATTGCATGGTAAAAAGAAGCACTTATATTAACTATATAATTTTTATATTATATATATATATATATACTTTTTTATATTATATATATATAGCTTATATATTTATTTTTGTTTATACCCAATCTGATATTCTGATTTGAAATATAAAACTAAGAACTGTAAGTAAAGGTTGACGATCAAACACTTACATACAACACAACAATTAAATAAAAAAATCTAAACAATTCGATCTCTCGAAATATCACAGTTCGCAAATACAATTATGTTTCTTGATCAAAATGAGTTTATTCAAGAAATAGATCGAGAGACATAATAAACATAATATTTATTTTTAATATTTATTATTTATAAAACATAATATTTATAAACATAAGTGCATGCGATGAATTATTTATGAAAAATATCTAAATAATATGTTTCAAAAACATTCGTAGGAAATGGCACAAGTACATAAATTTGTCCTGAAATATTGGATCATATATTGACTCACGGATACAGAAGAAAATTGAGTTAAATAAATTTATTGTTTGTGTATTCATAATACGTATATATAGATATAATAATCCCATTGTTTGATTTTGGTATAGAGGATTTTTATATGGATTTAAGTATCACAATGTGATATCTTTATATCTTTCAAAGTTGCAATCTTAAAAGTCATTATATCGAGTGAAATACGGTAAAATATTATGGGTACGATCATTTTGGATAATTTTTAATAACATTCATAATTCATGGCTGGTGGACGACACACGCCCGAACCTAGTCCACTTCCGTAATGATGTCAACCCAATGAAATCATGGCCTGCACCGATTTGTATATTTATCCGAACCATGGGAAAATGATTTCATTCAGGCTATAATGACTGGGATGTTAATGCAAATAATAGTGTTGGCCGCATTATACTCAGAAGAAATTCAAATAAGAATTAATTAAT